TAAGGAAACTACCTATATCCCCTAGAACTCTAACCCTACAGATTGACAAGCAAGAATATAGGAAAACCCGAAGGAACGACGAACCATCACCCCAACCCTAGCTCTACTTCTACTCATACAAATCATATGACTGATTAAGCATAAAGTTGGACATGTTAAGATCATAACACACAAACTATATGCTAGTTCATATATCATGATTATAACATGAAAACTATAATGTTGTTCATATGCACTACTATATAAATGATATGAGAGCATGACTATGAAAGAACTCTTCATAGTATTATTCATACCAAAGTTTCTCTTCTTACAAGGAGACAAGCTCTCCAAGTAGCTTTGCTAGCTCCAAATACTACTAAAAGTAAAAGTACAAGAGGTGGTAGTGAGGTGTATTTCCAAATGATGGTGTATTGTGAGGTGAGCACTACCCTCCTATTTATACTAATTCTTGGTTGGTTTGGTGCAGGTATTTTTTGGTAACCACCGGGAACCGCCGTAGCATGGCGGCATGCAACCACCATAGAAGAGTGGGGCCAAGCGGAGGCGGTGGGGGTCCGCCCACACCCAGGGTGCGCCCGCACCCTGGTGGGCCCGCCTCACAACCGCCTTAGCCTGGTCGGTTCCTTGATGGGCCTGGACCCTGTCTACACGGTGGTATTTTGCCTAGGTAAGTTGTGTAGGTGGGCTTCTCTTCTTATTCTCCTTTGCGCATTTATGCATTACTCTTTCTGTTTGCGCCTTTTTGCTTGGTTTTGTTTATTTTCCACTTGTATTTGAATGTGTGTCCTGCAAAACATGTTTTCTCCAATACAAGTGGAACTAGGTCAATATTTATTTCTCCTGTTTTGGACTTAAATTGGTGGTTAGAAATGGTCGTTAGTGACTGTCAACAACTATGTTTTCAAGTGTTTCAGGTGTTTCATTTATATATTGCAAGTGTTTCATCTGGATGTTGCATATGTGTTGCAATGGCTATACATGTGTTTTTCAAGTGACGTATCTTACAAGTGTTTTAGTGGTTTCGGACGTATGTTACAATTGTTTCATCTAGGTGTTGCAAAAGTAGATCTAGGGTTGCACATGTTGCAATGGGCCCCACCTACTGTAGCCGCCTGCTGCAGCTGCTGGGGCACCGTGCATGCGCGTGCGATGCCTAGGGGGATGGAGGCAGGGACGCGGCACGAGCGGCCCTTGGCGTGAAACGGGAGTTGCTAGGGCGCCGTGCATGCATCGGTACTGCGGGAAGCAAAGGGGAATAGGCGTGTGGCCCCGCGTGCATGCGGGCACTGGAAGTAGAGGGGGCACTAGTGTCTGAATGGGAGGCACGGAGGTTCCCGCATGTGCACGACGCACGTGAAATAGAGTAGATGCGCCAACGTCTGGATGCAGGCGTCCGTGGCTCTAGATCGTAGGTCCAATCCTAGATATAATACAATTGTACTAAAACCACTATTAACATCTGCATAGTTAAGATACTCCCTGTTCAAAAGGGTGTATATATGTGGTAGAAACGTTAATAATCTGTTTCTAATTGCATTGACCCTCGGGGGTATATATAGGTGCATATATGAAGAGATTTGGAGTACAAGACAAGTTGTACTAGACCTAATGATCAATATTATATCTCTAGGATTCTATCTTTATCTATAGAGTTCATATATGTTTTCAATTATCTTTAACCATACATATCTTTTCTTCTAACTTTCCCGCTCGATCATAGTGGAAGAGGAGCAGACGATTCTAAACCATGAGATCCAATTTTGGCGAACCTCCTTCCTAGGCGGTAGTGGTCACCCCCGCATCCATGGCCCACCGTTGTTGGCCATCCCAACACCTTAACTCACAACCAAAATCTACAAAGCAAAATCTCTATTGCTTTCTCTACTTCTTAGTATTCCCATCTAAAATAGTAGTTGAAGATTCAATTACGACAAACCTCTAGGTGGCAGTCGGGGCGACGGAGTGCAAAAAAACTGGCACCCCATGATAGGGAGTAGCAGTCGTTTTGCGTGGATGCCTCTATGTTTCCCAAGGTGGATATATAGGGAATGGTTGGAAAAAGTTTTTTTTCATCCTACAAAAGAAATTAAGATTGACAGTGACTTTACCAAACTATTGAAGATGCTCTTACTTCTAACAATTGCATTGCGATGTTTCATAGTGTAGACGCAATTGAGCTGATTTTAGAAAAGCTAGACAGCTGACTTGTGAGGAAATAAACTATAAAAGCTAAAAGGCATAATGAGAGTAGCTTTTCTGTGTTTTGAGTACCGAGAAACTGAATTTTTATTGCACATGTCAATAGCAGAAAGCCAACAGGCAGAAACAAGAAACAACAAGAGCAGCTTTTAAACAAAAAAATCTAAAAGCTATGGCCCCTTTGATTGGGCTTTTCAACCCGCTTGTGTTTTTTTAAAAGCCAAAAGACAACCAAAGAGGTGAAAAGCCACATCTGCTTTAGGCCACAAGTTATTTTTGCTCTAGTACAAAACCCACAACACCTTTTCCCCTGTTTTCACCTGCTTTTGGGCAAAGGAATTATCCACCTGGCACTGGTTAAAACGAATCATTTTTCCCTTCTGTTCTGTTCGCATCGCAAGGAAACCCGATGGTGCCGCCTACGACGAGCTCCTCCACTCGCCCGACGAGTGGCCTCCAGTCACACAGACGCGGCCCAAATGTGCTCCTCCGGCGGGGGCGGACGAGCGTCACCGACCCCGGCGGGGCCTCCCTCCCTCCCTCCCTCCTGCTTGGGACTCCGCCGGGCAAGATCCAGTCCTCTCCCCCCTGCCCTGCTCCCGGCGAGCACCTCCGCCCCCACGCCAGCATGGGTGCTGCTCCTGGGAAGCACCTCCGCCCCCATGCGGGCACCAGAGAGCACCTCTGTCCCCACGCAAGCACGACCTTTGGCACGCGGGTCATCGCCGGTGGCATGTGCAGCCTGTGCCCCATCCTCGGCCAGCGAGGGAGGAGTCAGAGAGAGATTGACATGTAGGGTTGTGTATGACATGTGGGGCTGCTGCTAGCTGCTTTTCCAAATGCTACAGCTAGTCAACCAAATGGTCACACCTGCTCTCACAAAAAGCTTTTACAAAAGTCACATCACAATCAAACATGACCTATATGTAAAACAAACGAGAGAAATGACAACCAAATGCGGAAAAGATTAGCGCGGCACCTAATGTGGGGGTGGGGTGCCATTGCCACGTCCCACAACCCACATCAGGGTTGGAGCAGTCAACAACCGAGAGCTGAGCTGTGGCTTCTCCCCCAATCATCGTCAGCACTCAGCAGGCGCGAGGCGAAGCACCGGCAAGGCAGAGCCGCAGCAGATACGGTGGCGGCGCTCGACAGCGGCTACCAGCGTAGTACTCCGTACGTACCGTCCGCTCGTACCGCTACTGCTAGTAGTAGCACAGGCCGGTGGTAGGTTACTCGAAATGGTAAATAAAGCGCCGCTTGGTGCGCAAAACGGCCTGCACGGCGGCGCCCGCCCCGCCAACCCCCCCCCTGCCAGCAGGTGTCTCTCCCAAATCATTCGCCCCCGCGCGCCCGGACCAGACCCCTACCCACACCTCGGCCAGCATCAGTCCATCTCTCTTCCGCTTTCCCATCGCTCTCGGGCGTCCCTGTCTGCAGGATTCCACTTCGATTTAAGCCACACCGCAATGCTGCATAAATGCAACTCTCCCTTCCCTTCCTCCCTTCCCCGTCGCGCTATCTACTTCTCTCTCACCCTCATCACAGCACAGCTCCAGCTCTAGACTCTAGGACAGAGGAAGAAGCGAGAGTCGCAGTCAGTCACAGAGGGCTTGCAGCAGCTGTGGCCATGCTCTGCTCCCCCTCGATAAGCCGGATTCCAAGCTCTGCAGACGAACAAGGAGGCAAGGTACATGTTCAGTTCGTCTTTTCTGATTCTTCTTTCTCCTTCTTATACAATTCCTTGCTCGATTTTTTTTGAGGGGAAACTCCTTTCTCGAATTCGCCGCTCATGTTCTCTTTTCTTCGATCTTCTATAATAATATATTACTGCACAGCTGATTTTTTTAGGTGAGGATCTTGTTCACTTTATTATTTCTATGGCTTATAAGTCGACTGATACTGATTTGTCGCGAAAGAAAAACGGTATCACGATTGATAAGCATAACTTACACGATCGAGCGAACAGGTGGTCTGATACGATACTTTCACTTTCACCGTCATCCGTCCATTCTCACCGGACAATCTTAACTTTACACTTGATAAAAAGCTCTTCTTAGTAATTTAAATTTAACGAAGGATCTCGTCTCGTCTCCAGTGTTCTTGCTATAGATTGCGATTTTAATACGAGGCTACATATAAATAAATAAAAAAAGAACCTTTCCACTGTGTTTGGTTGCTGCTCTTGAGCAGGCAGGCAGGCAGGTGCTTCTCCCCTTGCAAGTATGTGGTGTCCACACGTCTATCCTGCTTCCCGCTTCTCCTTTGTTTTCTTCCCTCTTTTATTTATCCATCACTGTTCATGTTCTTGCACTCCACAGTTCACACATGCTCCGCTCGCCCAGATCCATCCATGTACCTTGTAGGGCCTGCCAATTTATCATATTTCCATCCCCTTTTTTCTTGCTGGCATCTACTGAACGCTGAGCATTTTTTTTTCTTTTCTTTAAACGGAACGCTGCCAGTCAAGCGGATGGACAGAGAACAAGCGTAGATGAGTTAGACATGCTTGCTTGCTTGCTCCATTTGAGGCCAAATAAAAGGTGGTTGTGTGCTGCAAGATCCTGGACAGGAGACGTCATTGTTTACAGTTTTTTTTTTCATCCATTGACAGCTGCATAGAAGTTGGCAACAATTTTTAACATCATGCTTGCCTTCTTTGAGTTCCCATGCACGTCCCTCTACTCCTTGCAGCTCATGCTGCTTGCCCTCTTGTGTGTTCTTGCAGCGTGCATTCTGATTGAATTGTTCATAAAGTGATTGGCTGCTCATCGATGGTTGTGGTGGTCATCTGAGCGATGAACCAGTTCGTCCCTGATTGGAGCAACATGGGAGACACCTCCAGGCCGCTCGGGTAAGCACTAGCTCTGATCCCTTGATTGGTGTATAGAGATCATGAAGCAGAGACATCTTCTTCATCAATCGATTGATTTTCATCTTGTTGCGAGAGGGAGGGATTACCCAAGATTCTGCTGTGTTGTTGCGTGCAGCGAAGACGATGACCTCATTGAGCTGCTCTGGTGCAACGGCCATGTCGTCATGCAGAGCCAGAGCCACCGGAAGGTGCCGCCGAGGCCCGAGAAGGCGGTGGCGCCTCCAGCCCCCGCGTCGGTGCCGCAGGAAGACGAGGGCGGCCTGTGGTTCCCCTTCGCGTTGGCCGACTCGCTCGACAAGGACATCTTCTCGGAGTTCTTCTACGAGGCACCGGCACCGGCACCGGCAGCGGTGGCGGCGCCGGTGGCCTCTGGTGGCACCGGCACTGAAGCCGCCGTGGGCAAGTCGTGCAGGGACGACGTTTCAGCGGAGGCCGACAGGCGCGGCGGGGCCAGGGGCGGGGCGTGCCCGGTGTCCGAGGACCCGTGCGACCTGATGCCGCCGCCCAAGTCGACGCCCGCGTCCTGCTCCAGGCAGCAGACCATGAGCCTGGCCAACGGCGGCGGCAATGCCGACGATCTCTCGGACCTCGTCGTCCTCCGTGCGGGGAGCGCGGGGAAGTCGGCTGCGGCGGCGGCGGTGGCGGTGGCGGAGGTCGGCGCGTCGTCGATGCTGAGCGCGATCGGGTCGAGCATCTGCGGGAGCAACCAGGTGCTGGTGCAGCGCGCGGTGGGCGCGCCGGGGCGCGCGAACGCGAACGCCATGGGCGGCAGGGGCAACGAGGCGTCCTCGTCGGGGCGGTCCAACTACTGCTTCGGCACCGCCACCACCACCACCACGACCGAGCCCACGAGCACCAGCAACCGGAGCAGCAAGCGCAAGCGGCTCGACACCGAGGACTCGGAGAGCCCCAGCGAGGTCTCGTCTCTCCTTCTCGACGACGATTGCCTTGTCGGCCCGTCTATTATTGTTTAATAACAACGCTCCCGGCAATGGTACGATGATGCAGGACGCGGAGTCGGAGTCCGCCGCCATGTTGGCGCGCAAGCCGCCGCAGAAGATGACGACGGCGCGGAGGAGCCTCGCCGCCGAAGTGCACAACCTCTCCGAGAGGGTGCGTGACGACTGACGACAACTCCTTGCTAGCAGTTGCCTCGTCCAACAGTCGACGACGTTGTCTGACTGTCTGACATGGATGTGTTTTGTCCCCAATGTTGCAGAGGAGACGAGACAGGATAAACGAGAAGATGAGAGCCCTGCAGGAGCTCATACCTCACTGCAACAAGGTTAGACATCACTGGACAAGCAGTAGCTCCATTATCACTTTCATCATAACCTGTGGACAGTGTTTTATACAGTAAATCAGTAATAATCTTGTAATTGCATTACGTGAAGCAGACGGACAAGGCGTCAATGCTCGCCGAGGCGATCGAGTACATCAAGTCGCTGCAGCTGCAAGTGCAGGTCAGTGAGACAGCGACCACGTCCTCCCTCGCCGTGCAAGTGCAAGTCGGTCACTGACACTAACCGTAGGCAACATGCAATGCAGATGATGTGGATGGGCAGCGGCATCGCGGCGGGGCCGCCGGCGGTGACGTTCCCCGGCGTGCACCAGTACCTGCCGCGGATGGGCGTCGGGATGGGCCCGGCGGCGGCGATGCCGTCCATGCCGCGGCTGCCGTTCATGGGCGCCCCGCAGCCGGTGGTGCTCGCCAACGCGCAGGTGAACGTGAACCCGGTGCCGGGCTACCGGGGCCACCACCACATGCCGGCGGCGGTGGGCATCACGGAGCCGTACGGGCACTACCTCGGCGTCAACCACCTGCAGCCGCCGCCGTCGCAGGTCCAGGTCCGCCGCGTCCCCTGCCTGCTGCATTAGTTTTGTAGTATGCTGTGTGCCAGTATGCATGTGTTCCTGACAAGTTTGGGCAGCACTACGCGCAGGGCGTGGGGTACTACCCGTCGCTGGGGGCGAAGGCCGTGCAGCAGCAGATTCCAGAGCCTCATCACGTGCCGGGCCCCGGTGGCAGCATGCCAGCCGGCGCCGCGCCCAGAGTGCTGCCCCCAGAGAGCGCGCCAAGCAGAGGACCAGCAGGTACGGTACCATGCGCTCTGCTCTTCTCCTCATCTTCTTCTTCTGGGATCACAGGTTCACAACAACAAAGGTAGCCGTTGGTTTCAACATGTTTGCTTGGTTACAGCACTTGATAGGAACTGGTCCTCAGTGTACCACCAACCAATAATGAAATATTTAGCAGCTTTATTAACGAGAAAAAGGAAAAGAAAAACGTAAAGCAACCCTAGTGGTTGTCCAATTTCAGAAAGAAAAATAGTGTTTTGCTAGATATAGCTCTAGCTTTTGTAGTTGGTATTGGTACATTTTTGGGCCCCAATGGAAGCACTACAATGAGATCAGAACTGAACTGGGGCCTTTTTTTTCGCTCGTCCTGTACAGGAATATATTGTTCGCGTGAGTGTCCACGGTTTTGCATCTTGAGTTCGCACGGAATAAATGGTCCGTTCGTTTGGCCGATAAGTTACGGCTAAAAATACTGTTACTTGATTTATTGTAAGAGAAAAATATTATTCGTTGGCTAAAAAATATAGCTTATAAACTAAGCAAACAGGACGAAACTTTTTAGAGTATGGTTCCTCATCAACGTGTAAAGCGAGGGACAAGTACTATACGATACGGTTTGACGGCGCAACGGAGCTACTGTTCGAGTGCTGGAGCCTTCCATCATTTGCCAAGGGCATCTTTAGTGTGAATTCGGGTGCCTGTTTGCTTGAACTTATTAGCTGACTTATCAGTTAAAATCTACAGTATTTTTTTTCTACAACAAATCAGCTTCAGCCGGTTTTAATACCAGCCGAATAACTTGCTTACGTGGCTAAGGGTTTGCCACATCTAGTGCTAGTGCTATGCTAGATCGTTTTGTGGGACCCATGTGGTAGTAAAGAATCCTTATTTTTCTACCTCCTGACGGTCAGCCCTCAACATCCTCGATAGATGGTAGAGCTTCAGTCTCTGACAGTTAAAACGGAGAAATGCTTTCTGACCAGGAGCGTCTCAGCGGGAGGAGAAAACTCCAACCCTAAAAACTAATTATTGGAAGAGATATAAAACGTGTTTTGAGATTTTGAAGATCTTCTCTCCAGCAGAACGAGAAAATCAAATCCCTAACGAGAAAAATAGTGGATTTGCCTTTTATTTGAGGGGTGGGAGCTGTGATTTGAGGGACTGAGATTTTTTTTTTCATTGAAGTTGGGTTTGAAGAACTGTCGGAGCTATAAGATCTCCAAAATAACAGTTTTTTCTTGTTTGGGGTTAGGAAAGGGAGACTGTTGGAGATGCTATAATCCCCACTAGAATCTAAGATAACTTTTATTGTTTGGCTAGGGAGAAATGATTCTCACGGAGAAGCAGCTCCAAGGAGTGCGGTCGAATGACCTCTCATTCTTAATTCTAGCTCCTTAATTCTCGGATAGAGTGATTCTAATCAGCGGGCGGTGTGGAGAGGAGGTGGAAAGTGATTTAGGTGAGAATTGAATTTAGAATAGTGAAAACGCAGTTCTTTCTCCTGAGTCCTAGTGTAAATGGAGAAGTGATTTTTGTGATTTTTTTTCTAGTTAATTGAGCATAGGTAATTTGCATAAAGAAACTCCTCCAAACACCACGTCAAACTTCAACGCCGATTTCTTGCTTTGACAGACACCTATACATGCATGCATACTCACTCATGAACACATGCACACACATCCTACCACTATGGGCACCTTTGAAAGACTGAGACTAGGTCATCACAGTCGCCTCACTATCGACGAGCATTGTCGCCTACTATTGAAAAACTACGCTATTTAATACTGGAATAAATCTAAGAAAATATGAGTATCTGTGCCAAGTCAAAAACTACTTAAACATGAATAGACAGGTTCTACAAGGAACCTAACCAACTAAGCTACACTTAATTTGCGAGTCAATTTTTTACCGCAATGAAGCTGCTCATATGTGTTGTGTACTTGTGTTGCGTTCTTAGTTTTCCGTGGTGAGACGAAAATTCGTTGCCTCCAGCACAATGCACAAGTTTCTTTTACTCTATATATAGGCATAGAAGGACAAGGTCAAAAAGCTTTCTTTTCAAAAGTAAAAGTAACAAAGCTGCTTACAGAAGGGGGAAATGCAAGAAAATGATGGGCTAGAAAGGAAACTAGCCTTTTGGAGTTGAGCTTCAGCCCAATCATTAGCAGCACAACGGAGAGGAAGGTTCTGTGCTCTAAAGCTTTTGTTTAGTGGAGTAGCACCGAAAGTAACACCGCTCACTTTTGGGTCCTTATTAACAGGACCTGAAAAAGCTCCCTGAGAAGTAAGAACAGGACACACTGCGATCGATATGGGAAATGCCTAGCTTGTACTCCCACCCCGTCCATATGCAAGCCATACAAAATAGACACTATCAGCCTGTTTGGCCGGGCTACTCTGGCTCCGGCTATGTGCTATAGTGGATGGAGAGCAGATCCGAAGAGGGGAAAAAATACTGGTTCCTCTTAGCTCCTAATTTATTTGGAGAAGTGAGAAAAAATGTATTTCGATGAACAGTATGGTAAACAGTGCATGAGTTGGAGGAGCCGGAGCCTAGAAGCTCTTCCAAATAGCCCCTATGTATAGTTTATAGCTTAGTGTCTATAAACCATAAACCACTAAGGGCTTGTTTAGATGCAATCATAATTACTTCAATCAACTAAGTTTTATCCTAATCTACTTCAACACAAATGAAATTATAGATTGAGGTGGACATGAATTTCAAACGTGGCCTAACCGAATAATAAACATTTCATTTACGTGCTCAATTCAATGTACTCATGTTATTGTGAGGCAGCAAAACCCTAGCCAGTGGTATCTCAGGAAAACTACGTACCGTCTGACCATAGTGCCAATAAAATTCGGTAATGAAAAGAAAAATCTGATGCAATTGGACAAGATAAGGTTGCGATGTTACAGTAGGGCCCCTTTCCCACTTGTTCCGCACAAAAAAAAAAAAAGCTCCGATGGTGGGAGAATATGTTTTTACATATATATGCCAAAAGTTAGGTCGTTCTACTTAGACCTGCTCGCCTGGAACGTCAATTGTGTATTTGTATTGTACCTACCTTAATTTGTCGCCGGAGTATACTGGTAAACTGCTTCATATATCTCTCTTATGTCCACAAATGTCCATGGATGGATTTTGAGCATCATATTGCAGTTTAACCAATTTATTTTCGATTTTATCTGATTTCTTCTTCTTCTTTGCAGGGTGACTAACCAAAAAGGACAAATCGCATGGCGGGGCTGATGTTTAATTTGACAATTATGAAAACAAAAAAGAAAAAGAAAAGAAAATAGACTGCACAGAAGGAAAAGCTGATGAAATAACATGGGGCATTTTCTTTAGCAGCCCCATTTTGGGATCTGTGCAGAAATTTAGAAGGGATTGATCTCTTAACAGATTGTACTTAGCATGATTTTTTAGTTGGAACCATGCTAATCTTTAGTTTATCTTCTCAATTCTTGAGTTGAGATGGGTACGTAGCTGAGAGGGTTAGAGCTGGTGCTTCTGTTTTGCTGTCTCTAGATGCAATGCAAATGAGAAGTTCATGAGCTTATTATTAAAACACCAAAAGCAACTGTAATTGTTGGTGTTTTATGATTTGTGCAGTTTTCATTGTACATAATAGAAGCGCTCAAAGAGCAAATATTTTTGTTCTTGTGCTACTGCCGCAGAATTTTTTTTTCCTTTACTGCTATTCCTACTTTTATATATTTACTATAATTCTCTTCATATTGTACTTGTTATATTGCTTACACCACTGACAAATCCTCAATGTATGCTTAGGTTCAGGTAAAAATTAAGTGACCTTTTCTGGCGCGTCCACAAAAGTTCAACTTTGGAATTTGATATCTTAATCAATATTAGATCGTATATAGAGATTTCACATGGAAATTATTTTCAAAAGATAAAAGTTACAATGTCATAAACACATACTCCCTCCGTTCCAAATTTTAAGTCGCTTTGACTTTTTTGTTGCATCCATTTTGCTATGCATCTTGATATATTATAGCAAAATGGGTGCACCAAAAAAATTAAAGCGACTTATAATTTGGAACGGAGGGAGTAGCCAACAAAATTTTGTTTTGGATTATTGGATATCATAATATAGATGTCCAAAACATATTAATTACTCCCTCTGCTTTAAATGTATGTCATTTTAATTTTATCCTAAAACAATAAACTGCAATCAAATCAAATTGATAATAAAACACACCACATTTACAATATAATACCAAATTAAATTATTTACTTCAAATCCACAAATTAATGCATGTTTATAGTGTAGATATTTGGTTCGATAGATGATTAGATGTTAATATTTTTTCTATATAATTAGTTAAAATTAGAAAAGTGACTTTTTTGATAAAATTAAAACGATCATCATTCGTTTTGACTAAATAATGAGCATATACATTACTTGCCTAGAGTTGGCCCTAGGGGAGCGCAAAAGATGCAACAGCCTAGAGCCCAGTCCGAGTAGGGGCCCAAGATCTAAACCGTGTACATATATACTCAACAGTATTCTCTCAAAAAAGATATACTAAAAAAAACAATATCTTCAGTTAAATATATATGTGACTTTCTCATCTGAACATTCTTATAGGCTGAATTGAACAAATATTGATACTCTTTTTTTATTTGATCAATAGTTTAACTTAAGACAACTCTAAATATTATTTTATTTTTAGTGGACAAAATATTTAGATTCTGCCATTATATATGTACTACCTCCGGCACGCAAAGTGTGATGTTTTGGTTTTATCTGTAACTCAAAGTTTAACCAAATTTACTTAGAAGAAATGAAGAATATCAATACTTATGACACAAAATATATTTACTATGAAATATATTTCTAAATAGGATGATATTTATTTCATATCATAAATATTAGTATCTTTTCTTATAAGCTTAGTCCAATTTAAGATTATTTGACTTAGTATAACATTAAAATGAAACTCTTTGCAAGATGGTGGTAGTACACTTTAAGTTCATCCACCAGGTTCCTCGAAATGTAGGGCCGACCTTGTTGCTTGGAAACCAGGCCCTAAATTTGTTCGATCCTTTTCCATTCTTTTCGGGAGCACCCAAATGCAGAATAAAGACGTGGGGTTGAACTTGGTGCTTTGTGAATCTCGACTTTGCCCACTTTTCTATCTGCCGCACCACAGCGCATCCCTAAATAGATTCTGGAGATCTTTTTTTCGCGAGCTAAGAACAACTATTGTTCCAACCAATTGGAACGAGAAAAGGCGGTGATGAGTACGATTCTTATCTCCTTGCTGTTTTGATGATGACCTGATTGCCACAACGAAGCCACGCTGTCCAGATCACCAAGGTCTCCAAGATTTTTCTTTTAAAAAAATGTTTTCCAATGAATAACTTTGCAAACAATAGCTGTCCATTACCTTTATTTAGAGCATCTCCAAACATCTCTTCATATCTTTTATAATTGATAGAAATAAACATTTTAGTAAAAACGTACCCAATAGCATCTTTAATTAGATCTCCAAGTACTATTATTCTTTATTTTAGAATTCCCGCTAGTCAAACATAAAGTATATAGAGTACGCACAAGATATAAAAGTTATAAGAGAGTGAAAAGATATAAAGAGTTATTTTATTCAAATGACTCTTCAAACGATACTTTAGGCAGTGGGTTTAAGAAAAAATCTTGGAGATGCTCTTATGCAAGATAGATATTACTTGCCTCGCTAGGTGGATTGGGGAGCGAAAACGAACTTGGGTGTTCATTGGTTTTCAAGATGGCATCTGGAGCACAAACTCTAACAAGCGACCCATCGCGCTAGGGCACGAGCGCGTGACGCGGGCCGGCCCTGGCGCGCGCCCAACAGCGACCCATCGAGTGGACTGCCCTACCGGAGATGGAGAAGGAGAAGAAGACCGCAACCCACTGACTGCGACCGGAGACGGAGAAGAAGACGCGGCAGCGGCGACCGAAGGACACGGTGGCGGCGGCTAGGGTTTCAGCGACGGTGAGGTAGGGTTTCTTCTCCAACTCCGATGGGCTATAGAAGGGCCCGTCGGTGGCAGGCAAGCCGGTTAGCGTGGTAGGGAAGGAGGTCAGGCATTTTAGGGGGCCTAGCGGTGGTAGCGACGGTCGGCCGGGCTAGGTTGGGGTGGGGCCGCCATGGCCG